ATAGTCACTGGATGTGGAGTATAGTGTGGGGAGTGGAGTCAATGGAATTGTGATAGATATGTATGATATCGGGGGTAGAGGGGCGGTGGATTGGGAAAGGGAGGTTGTCGCTTAGTGAGGGTTGAAAAACGTAACTATTGCATTGTTTTGTACACCTAAAACTAATAATAATAAAAGAAATCATTTCAGATCTAGAAAAAGCTATCTTATTTACATGGTTAGAACATACACTGGGAGCATAAACTAGCTCACTGTTTCCCAAACAGTGATTCATACACCGTCTTCCCAAATCTGCCACTCCTCATATTTCTATACCATGAGACACTTACTATTTATCTTGACAGTAACTCCCTTTAAGAAACCTTAATTTATTGTAAAAGTACCATAAATGGAAAACCAGCATCCCTTGCCATAAACATAACTGTAAAACTAAAGACAATACAGTCCTTGTACTCCAGCAGTCTACTTGGTGGTGTAGCATCTAAAAGACTCTGATGTTGTCTAGAGGCTTCCCTATGTGTATCAGTTAAAATTATTACACCTGTGTACCGCTTTTGAAACACTGAACTAGAGCAACATAAGAGAATGAAGAGGTGAAACCCTTCAGTGGTTCATTTGGCAAACACTTAATGAATGTCTGTTAGATGCCAGGCAATGTGGTCTTTACTTGAATAAAATAATGAACAAAACCAGAGGTGGCTTTGCTGGCATCAGTGATGGAGATAGATATTATCACGTCATGGAACCAAATGGACAATGCAACAGTAGTAAGAGCAGGAAGAAATGATGCAAGGAACCTTAATGGGGCATCTGAACCAGTCCTCAAAGCCTGAGGGAGAAATGAATGCAAGAAGCATTTTTGGGGTTCACTGAGAGGAACTTGACTAAATAGCAAGGTGGCTTGGTGGCAGTGCATGCTAAAGGCAAGTAGGCCATTATCTTGGGAGGCTGAAAAGAAGGTGGTCATATGAAACTGGAAATTCACCAGGAGTCACAGATTTAGGGAGACAACACATTTGCTTTTGAATGCACTGGATTAGGGAATGGGCATTAACATAATAATGTCATGACAATTTACAAGGGAAGTACAGGTTTGTGATCCTGTTCAAATTCTTAAATGCTAAGCCCCAGGTCCCTCATTTGTGTAAGGGGCTGATAGTACTACCTATTTTGTTTCTGAATGCTGTTTGTTTACATTGTTCTAAAGACCTTGATAATAAAAAACAATAATAGCATTTATTGAGATTGGGCACTATGTGCCAGACACAGCACTAAGCACTATACGTTATCTCATTTAGTCAGCACAAGAATCCTATAAGGCGGGTGGGTTTTTTATCCCTATTTTATAGATGAGAAAACCAATGCTTAGGGAGGTAAGGAAGCTTGCTCAGTGACACCCAGCCATAAGTAGCAGAGACAAGATCTGAATCCAGGTATCTCTGAGCCCAGAGTTTGTACCATTAATGGCTCCACTACATTAGTGCCTTCCAAGAAAGTCAGAATGTATGTGTGGCATGTGTGCATCTGGGTGGGGTAAGCAGGTAGGAAGCCAGATTTCAAGAACAGGAAGGAGTAGGGGTTGAGCAGTGAGTATGAGCTGCACTCTGAGGAATCTGGTGCTGAAATGAAGATGAAATTCTCTTCACATGAACATTTATTTCTTCAGGGTTCTTTTCAGGGTGAAGGTGAGGCACACGCTGGCTTCCCGGAATACTGGGAGTACGAACGTGGAAATGATGTCTATGAAACATAGTCTTTGTATATCTAGAGGGATGCCCAGACTACTGTGGGTACCCAGGGGAGGGGATGAGGACTAGCTGTCAGAGAGTGAGGATTAGCTTGTTACAGAGAGATGGGAAAGGAATTTTCAGACAGAGGGAACATTGGGGACAGAAGAATATAAAACTTCAGATTTGGAAGGAATTGCATGTGTTTGCATGCATCACTTGCTCACAAGCAAGAGGCCAGACATTCTAGGAGCGTAGGTAATCTAAAGGAGGCTTTGGGGCCAAGGTCTCTGAGGGTCTGAAATGCCATGTTAAAGAATTCTGTCTTCATCCTAGGGGCTGTGGAGAGTCCTTTGACCAGAAGGGAGAATCTGCATGTTTGTAGATTATGAAGGAATCTGTGGGCTTTGTAGAAAGGAGCCTGTAGAGAAGAGAAGGGTGAGCCAGCAGAAAACAGAAGAACGTTCCTTTAGGGTAGAACGGAGTTGAGGGCGCAAGTGAAACGATTATTAGGCTTGAAAAACAGGAAGTATAATTCTTCCTTTGCCAGGGGAAACATTATAATGAATAAAAGTTACAGTGCTCACCTTGTAGACGCTAAGGCCGGATTTATGATGGCAATGGGGAAAACATAGCTGATATTTATTGGGCACTGTGCTAAACGCTTTATGTTTTGTGTTCCATAATCCTTACAGGTATCCCATGAGGTAGGTCGTATTATTATCCCCACTTACAGATGTGGGAGCTAAGGTTTCAGGTTAATACACTGAAGGTCAAATAACACGCAGAGCCAGAATTCAAACCCAATGAAGCCGAGGAGGAATCATCAGTGGTCAGGAGGCGGACGTAAAGAGAAAAGGGTGGAGAGAAGCGGAAAATGCCAGGAACAGGTGCCACCAAGGAATGCAACAAGAGTTCAGGTGGAGAGTAAAAAAAAATTGAAGTTTGGGTGGTGAGTACAGCTTTAGGTTTGGAAAACTGGAAGAATTAATATTTTTTAAAACCTGAAGATTAAAGGAAAATAAAGAAGTTGAATCTTAGTGAGCATTTCAGTCATTAGGAATTCAATCACTTAAAAGTGTCATATATTCTGGGAGAATGATAACTGAAATTACTTTTAACAGAAAGAAAACTGAATTCTAATAGAAATAAAAGAATCTCAAGGCTACACGAGGCCTGAAGTTGGGGTAATTTATCCCAGCCTCAGGCAGAATTAGCATAAACCATCCGAGATGGATACATTTTTTTCTCTGTTAAATGACTTTTGGAAAAATGAAGGTTTTCCATAATTTTCCCTAGTAACTTAACTCATTGTTGTGTTTAATAATTTTACTGTCAAGAGGCAATATCTCATACTGTATCTAACCCATGATTCTATAGTTTCAAATGCATTTATTTCCACTTTCGTTTCATCAAGGGGGTAGTGAATAGCTGCGTCTGTCCACTGCAAGAGATACTTGCCCATGATTACTGTGTGACTTCAGACTTTCATCCTCTGAACTAAACACAGTGTCTTTGATTTTTAAATATGGTTGGTCTGCTTTAGTAAAACTATCTTTAATTCTTGAAGCCTCTTTTTTGACATAAAATAGCCAGGCTAAATGTGACAGGAATATTACTGTAGGAAAACAAGATGAAGCCCCATTTCTGTGTCTCATAATGGAAGTGTGAATAAAAGAAATATTAGGATTGGGAGATTAGTAGGAGTTATACCTGTATATGTGAGCAATCTGGACCTCAAGAGAGAATAATAAAAAATATACCACATTCTCATATAAAATATAGCATTCATGCTGAATTTATTGGCATTTAAGAATACTATTTCATATAGTATCGGAAGAGGAGAAAATACATACATGTTCTGAATGTCACCGAACTAAAAGTACTCTTGAAAAAACTAAATTTCAACAATCTGACACAAAACATTTTGAGAGGTAAAAATTGTTGACACCTGGAAATTAATAGGTACCATGAAATAAACATACATCTAACTCCTAAGTAAGGCTCTTAGCTCAGTTGTGAATAAAGCAATCTTGATTGGCTCATATTACTTTATCTGAGTGCTTCTAGCACTATCTTGTGTATATAATTAATTGCAATAGTAATGTTTTCTTCGATCCAATTCAAGTGAATGCTACTAACGCAAATAAAGCATCATAGAAACCAACTCCTAAAATCCTTGTCAATAATATTTATTGCGGTCGGTATAATGTTTCCTTTTGATGTACGTAATTTGAGTTCTCATTACTAAAAGGCTGGCTCAGCCAGAAATCTGCAAAGCATGAATCCTTATGAATTGGCACTTTGACAATCCATTCACACAATGATTACTGATGGCCAATAATGACCTTGAGAATCTCTTAAGAAAATGGTAAGAACAGAAGAGAGAAAAAGTGTACAAGATTAATCAGGGCTGGAGTTTTCAAAAAAGGATATCAGCAGGGCTTAAATCAGAACAAGAAGAACTGGAAAGTTCAAGATCAAGATAAAGATGCAAGACATTCCTGGTGGAAGGAATCACATGAACAAAAATACAGGTGTGTGTAGGACCACGGTGGGTTGAGGTCTGTCACAGTGAGATGACCATCTGGAATTAGCTGAAAATACCCATTTCTTCGCAGATTGTGATACTACATAATAGTTCAATACCACCAACATTTTATGCCTTTTCAACAAAATACTATGCCAGAAGTGTGTTTATTGCCATTTATAACTTGAAAGGCTTGTCAGTAGAATAGATGAAGTTACTGATGTTTAAATATGTTAAATACATTAATCTTAGAGTTAATAGGCAAGTTGTAACAAAGGAGATAATCTCCTCCATACTAAGCCAGGCTCTGCACAGAGGCTACAAAAAATCTAATCACACATATATTATTTGTAGCCTCTTACAAATATGAATGTTAATAATTATCTTAAATTTATACACACATTATTTGGGCATGGTTTTTAACTTAATTCCTCACAAAAACCTTTGACTATAAGGGCAAACTGAGAAAATGCCAACAATTTTAAGAACTAGATACCAGGGGTATCTAATTAACTTAGTCAATTACCACACTAAACATTACATAGATTAGCAATGATTTATCCGGAATACATATATCACTTAACCATTTGCAGCTGTGCAGAAAATAGCACAACATATTTCTTAATGAAAATTCACATTGAATAATATTGTGGCTATGCTATTATTACCTGGAGATCAACTGTATGTGATACTGTGCACCTTTAAGATGAAAAACAAATTTAAAGACAGTTTGGTTGGCTTACTTCTCTATCAAGTCCAGCTGCCACAGTGATAATATCACCAGTCTCATTGTTGATGGTAAACATGTTGGGCGAAGGGGTGCTTGGAGCCTGGGACAGGATTCTGTACCTCAACATCCCATTTAAGGTATTTGGATCATCATCATCGATGGCAGTGACCGTCATCACATATGTTCCTAGACACAGCACACATGGAAAATGGTCACCCTTCATTTCAGGGTCTCCTACATAGAAGGTATAGTTACCTTGATCGAGACGGTAGCTCGACCCATCTTAATTTCACTTTTTCGAAACAAACATTTAATCACTCAGACTTGACTGAAAACACTACTGATATGAACAGTACTCACTTGAAAAAATATAAAACCACGGTTAGATAGTTGAAAGGAAAATTGTGAAACATTTATACATTTCTAAAGACTCATTGTTTCCATATAACTTAGAAGACAAATTCACTGTATGATTCAAGGAAAGGATCAATTCAAACCTTCATATACAGAAAATGCAAATAAGTAATATAGATGCCATTAGCAACATATTTTATGGCCACTGATTCCTTCCCTCTGCCATATTTTCTTCTGTTATGCAACGACATCTAAAATGACATGCTGAGCATGAGTCTCCCCAGTGCCTAAGTCGCTTTCTGCAAGTAAGCTGTGTGCATAATGAGAACCACTCCATTTACTCAGGTCATAAGGAGCCACTCCATGCATTACTGTTGTGGTACATTGAATAGGGGTTTGGCATCGTGGTTCAGTTTTTCCCTAAGAGATTAAAAGAACACTGTTAACCAACTCAGGGACTTCAATTTATTAGACATTTGGGAAAGCAAATCTACAAAGCATTAGGATCAAATAAGTTCAAACTAGCTAGACACACTGTGCAATTTAGAAGTGGAGAGAAAAGCAGTTACTATTTAGGGTGGCTTGCTCTGTGGGATATTTATAAGAACTGGATTATAAAATGTTTCATCTCTAGTTTACCACCTTCTTGAGTACTCTAAGCTCGGCTGTGTTTTAGAAAATGTACAGTTGTTGTTCCTTCTACGTGGTACATGTTTGCCCCAGAATTAACTAAATAAGGCTTGGCCACATTATTCAAATCTCTTTTCAGAGCTTGACTCTCTAAAAACAAGACACCCTTTTTAATCATATGCCATCCCTACACACTTACTTTTTTTTAAAACTTTTCGCATACTGGCTGGCTTACTTGCCTTTTATTTTTCTCCCCTACTAGAATTTAGGCTCCAACAGGGCAGAAACTAGCTTGACACTACTCTATCTGCGGTGCCAAACAGTACCTAGCACACAGCACATACTCTATAAATATCTACTGAATGAGTGAATGAATGAATGAATGAATGGTTAAAGCTAAAAAATATGTTTCAGAATCTTGAACCAATACTGATTGCAATGCAGTTTAACACAAGATTCATGACATTATCAAACCTTGCGTAGAAAGATGATTTCAAACTCATAGAACAATCACAGGAAATACACTTATGAAATGTCTTTGCTTCTTGTGATCACTGACAGTCTTTTATTTATGGCAGACATTGTGGAAATTCATGGTCAAATGCATAAAAATATATCTTTAATGGTTTACTTTTGACAATTTTTATGAAGCAGTATTTTTAATAAAGTTAGAAATAATAGAGGAAAAATAAAATAAGTAATCTTTAAAAACTTCTCCAGGCAAAAAAGCCCAATGTTTATTATCTTTAGAATATGTGTACAAGATTTGTGTTTTAGTAAGGATATGTTTAACATGCTTTGGTTTTACAGTACTTTAAAATACTGAAGAAAGCTACTCTGCAAGTGTGACTCAGAGGAGCCACAGATGGTTGAACTTCCTGCACAGCCCGTCCTCCCACTCCAGCAGCCCCCCGCCCCCAGCGCTCCTTTTCTGAGGACACAGATAATTGTATCTGGGTCAAGAAAAAAAATACCAGTTCGAGGCGTAGTTGGTTATATCTATAAATTGGCTTATGCATAGGGGAGCTAATAAACTGGTGTAGATGACAAATGTAATATGAGCACAATTTTAAATGTTTGATGCTTTTTAAATTTAAAAACAAACAAACAAACAATAATACAGCTAATTCAGTCTCTTAAAACACCAAATCGTCTCAGGAAGGCTGGTAAAACAGTTCCTTTTACCATCTCAACACCAACGAATTTCTTGTCCACTAAGTTTTTCACACTAAGTGGGCCTTTTTAGCCTGTTAGTCTACTGCGACTGCAGTCCACTGTGTTTTCAGTACAAGAATCTAAAATCCTAGTCAAACAGCACTTCACAATGGCGAGAGGCTTTTGGCAACTGCTGTTTCTAGGCTGAGTCACTTTCCATGATGCCAGTTTAAAAGCAAGAGTTGTACAAGACATTAGGGTCAGCCTGAAAGTAAATACCTTGTGTCGCCAGAGGTAGCAGTCACAGCTGTCACCAAGCCCCGTCTCAGCTTTTCGTTTTACCTCTCAGCCTGGTCCCAGGAACATAAAGTATCTTTCAGAATCGCCGAAAGATACAATTGGTACTTTATGAGCAGAAGTTCCTGGTCTTCTGGTACTCTCAGGCTGTACTGACACTATCAACCATAGCCAAAAAAAAGGATCCTTCTATAGATTCTATAGTATAGAATCAGATACTGTAGTATATATTTTTTCAAAGGTGAGAAAAATCATTGTGGGCAGAAGAGTGATATTTTTATGTTTTTTCTCTTCAATCAGTTTTCCCCTAAGATACCTTCTTTTTTCCCTAAAAGCATTATGAATGAAAGAAAATGACACTAAAGGGCTCACACGATTTCTCCTTTTCTTGATTACTGAACAGTGCAGGATTACACTGCATTTCCTGAAGTAATTTCAAATTATTATCTTCAAACTTACCAGGCTTTGATCCCTCGGGAACTGTCCCATTCCACACCTGGTGTAAGAACTCGGGTCTGTTATCATTCATATCAATGACATTGATGACAATGTCAATGGGGTTCTCTACTTGATTTCCATTAATATCCACTGCATGTGCCCTCAACTGCAAAAGCAATTAGAAAACAAAGTGATTTAACAGATTTACATCTCAAGTGAAAAGATAAAATATACAATTTCCATGATACCAAAATAGCATGGATGGACTGAGACACTGAAAAACCAAAGCTACTCTTCCCCTCAAAACTTAAGTTAGCCAAACTCCATATAATTAAAGTTGATATAGTAGCAAAAAACCACAATGACTATCTGCTAGGCACTGTGTTCAGAATTGTATGGATTTTAACTCATTTAATCCAAATACAAAAGACTGAGGCAGAAATGACCAGCATTTGAAGGTGGGAAAAATCAAGCTTCAGAAAAGCTAACTGCTTTATTGACAGAGCCCATATGCAAAACTATTTAGTTCTGTTCAGTTCCCAAATCCTTCTGCTAAATCAGTATGTATGATTCAGGGTAATTAAAAATGTGGTACTGGCACAGAGTAGTTACAGAGATCAAGGGAACAGAAGAGAATCTAGGAAGAATTAAGTATGTATAGGGAATTTTGACACTAGTTTTTTTGTTTTTTTTAAATTGTAAAAGGCACTCATAAATGTTAAAAGTACATGAGTATATAAAACAGTTGTTCCTTTCCCAAGCTCAAGTTTTGCTTTATAGGTATATTTTTTTCTTCTTAAACAAATATAATCACTCAGCTACTCTTGGCAGAATATCTTCCAAATCTTTTCATCCGGCACATAGAGATCCATTTCATTCTTCTCAATAGCTGTGTCATGTTCTATTGAATTGTTTCTTTTTAACAGGAATGCGTATATGATTTTCCTGTTAAGTATAATGCTGACTGCTGGTTTCTGTTGATATGCTTTATCAAGTTAAAGAAGCATCAACACATTCTTTTGATATTTTGAGATTTAACACATGAAACAATGTACATTTTATTATTGCCTTTTCAACACCTATTGAAATATAATCCTTTTCCCCCTTTGACTTATTTAATATATTACATTAGTGGATTCTTAATACTGACCCATCCTTGCAATTTCATAATTCATTCTATTTTGTTATGGATACCACTCTTTTATGTGCAATGAAAATCTGGAGAGCAAGAATTTACCCCAAAATTGACTGGACAATATTTATTCCCCGAGTTCTAACTGCACCAGTTCAGAGAGTGAGAATTCATACAGGAAGAGAAATTTAGAAACTTTTGTATTGATATTATTTATAACCATAAATTAGAGACTAGTCTAATTAGAGACTGGTCTATTGGTGCTATCTTTACCAAGTTTCCCTATTAATGTGATGTTTTTGTGAAATGTATGAAATTTTTACTTCCTTCTTTATGTTTTATAACAATATAAAAAGCATTAGAATTACATGTTCCTTGCGGAGTCTTGCTCTACCACACACACATATTTTAATAATTTTCAAAACTTCAATAATTTAAGAAGTTTATATAACTGCAAAAATTCAACAAATACATTAATGGGCAAAAAATAGAATCTAAAAACAAACACATACGTGGGTGGAATAAAAAGTTTTGAAATCCTAAGTGTAGATGATAATCAATGGGAATACTAATTCCCATTGATGGGACAACTGGCTAGTCATAAAGGAAAAACAAATTAGATCTATATCCCTTTCCCCTTTTACTAAAATATTAATAAGTTCCACAGAGGTTAAAAATTTAGATGCAAAATAATAAATACAACAGATTAAATTGGGGAGATTAGCATCTTGGAGTTGGGAAGGCTTTTATAACCATCTCTAAAACCAGAATGCATAATAGCATTTTAAAAAATGAATTTTACAACACAAAAACTGTAGGTTATAGTATGGCAGAAATTATTAACAAAATTTAAAACCAAACAACAAAAAGGGAAAATATATGACAAATCATGCATTAATGTCCCTAATTGATAAAAGTTACTTAGTAAAAGTAAGAGAAAAAGATAATCCAAAAGAAAATTCAACATAAGACAGGAATAATAAATTCACTTTGATTAGATATTCAACTTATGAAACATAAAACATCAAGACAAATGTTTAACAAATAATACTGGCAATAAATAAAAAATGCCTGGAATTGATAATGGAGTGGAGAAAATACATCTGCTATATAGTGTATAGGTAGTACAACACAATACAACCATTCTAGATAAGAATTTCACTATATTTATCAAAATAATTTCAAGTTTAAGAATGTATTCCAAGGATATATTAAGAAAATGTACAGAGAGATGTTCATTGCCACATTCAGTTGCAAAATAAATTTAAAAAACGAAATTACCCAGATAGCTACCAATAGGTAATTAGTAAAAATTAAGTTACATTCATTCAACTGAATAATTTGGAACAATAAAAAATTATGATATAAATAATATTTACTGATATGGAAAGATGTTAAAGTGACAAAAGTTGGTTTCATAGAATGGTCCCAATTTCCAAAGAATACATGTGTGAATCTGTGAATAGAGAAACATCTTACTTACAGTATATCGCCAAAATGTAAAAAAAATGAAAAAGGTTATTTATGTGTACTAGGATTATAAATCATTTTTACTTTCTTATTAATATTGCATTATTTGAAAGTTTTATTTCTGTATTATTTGAAAAACTTTTACAGTGTGCACATATTCTTTTCTAAAAGAAAATGATACTTTCATTAAAAGGAATTCATTTATATTAAAATTGGAGAAGTAATAAACATCAATTTAGGTTTCTATATTAAATTCATGAAAAAATTGTTGAAATCTTCTTCCAGGAAAATGTGCAAACATGGTTAGAAAAAGAAAGAAAAAAAATGCCTTCTAGAATTTATATTTTAATACTAGGTAATTCCTGAGTTTTAAAATACTCACTACAATATTAGTTTTAAATATGGAATATATATTTAAATATGAACATGTAACTATATATAAAAGGTGGTTACAACTTAATAAGAAAATGAAAAAACATTAAAATTAACATAAGAAATATAACTGCTTAATATACCTAAGAAAAGATTGCTCATATTAATGAAAACAAGTGTTGGCAGGGTTATAAGGGAAAAAGAAATCTCAACTTCCAGTTTTTGGAGGGAATACTGCCAACAAACAACAAAAGCTTTTTGGAGGGAATACTGCCAACAAACAACAAAATAAAAATGTTCTATCCATTTCCTAGGTCTCTATTTAATGGTAATAATACCAGCAGGAACAGATAAAATGGAGAACATGTATGTCTATTAATAAAAAACTTATTAAAATTATAGCCTATGTATTTAATGGAATACTACACAGCTATTAAAATGTTCTGATCTCTACATAATTTACAAGCAACAGTTTGACTCCCCACATGTAAATGTATTCTTATAAGTTCTTAGACACATATCTGAAAGCAAGTATCAATGAGCAAAGAGTAATGCAAGTTTAGGCAATTTTACTTTCTTCTTTGGCACCATTTGTTTTCTTGTACCAGGCACATTCATCAATTCATTAAAAACAATAAACTTATTAGAATAAATTGAAAAGGCTACAAGTACATTTCAGAAGTTAAAACTCTGAATCAAAGCTTTAACACTGATAAGAGGCAAATGCTAAACTCTGCAGACATTTAGAAGGCTATTAATACATAGAATATCAGCAACTGAAATCTTACGTGAAACCGGGCTATCAGCTCACGATCCAGAGGCTTGGTTACCGACAGCTGACCTGAGATCGGATTGATAATGAAGATGCCAGTTGGAGGCTGGTCAGCTCCTGGCCCAGTGACGCTATACCGCAGGGAAAGGTTTTTATCTCTATCAGACCTGATCTGAAGGTCAAGAAGACAATTGCATTAAATGGGAGACTAAATGAGCTCATTATTACAGACACTGCATGCCACACCTCATGTCCTTTTTCAGTTACAAACTTTCACCATCTCTTCCTAGAAAACCATTGAAAATGCTCCCAGTCCTAATCCTTGTCCTTGCTTCTTGGTGACAGGCTTCAAAAAGACGTGTCACCTATCACCAGAGAGACTGGAGGGCAAGGTTAACTTCTAAAAAAACACTTACTAAAAGCAGTGCAAAAAGTCAAAATTAAGGAGTGTCAGTTTTTAGACAGTATCAAATTCTATCCTGGGCATTTGTCGGTTAGAATATTAAACCCAATAACAGGTGTCAAATTCAATGAAAAAAAAATATTTACCTTTCTGCAACAGTTAGGATAAGAAGTACCCATCTAACCACAGTGTAAAATAGCTTCACTTGAGACCTCTCAGATTATGGTTGAGACTGGAATTCAGATTTCTGTACTTGCATTGTACGGACAGTCATTGCAACCAAAGCTTTCCATATCATTTTAAGGTGGCACCTATTACCCCAAATCGCTTATTAATAACAGAGCATACAAGAAATAATTTTAAAATATATTTCCATACTCTCGAAAATTATACCCATAGGCTCACTTTCTTTTCCTCCAAATATAACAATTCCTAGGAAAAATAAGTTTATAGATGAGCAATCACAAGCTCAGGTTACAGAAAGGGAGGAGGGAGGACAATACAGAGAAAAGATCAATTGAGCAATACTGTTTCGATGTGATAATAAAAGATATTCACGTACTAGGCAAATACACTTAATCCAGTAACAGAATCTTTTTTTAAGTTAAGGCCAAATGCTTTTGTTTTCTCATTCTTTGTTAAAGTAGAAAAATAAGAAACACCTTTGTTTGGGGGTTATGTCATTCATTGTTAAATTGAATTATAATGTGCATTAGAATAGAATATATAACACACAAAAAGTGACTTATTAAAAATACAACTTTCAGTAAATGGTACTGGAATGCTACATTAATCAACTACAGAAACATTTACTTTCTAACAAATGGGAATACAATGACTTTGTCTTACTTTCTTTTTGTAATAAATAACTGGTTGCTAATTTTACTACACACATAGAAATATGGTTTTCTTTTCTCTGCCTCTAATGGTATGCATTTAGAGTAACTGAAAAAAATTAACTTTTCAGATTTGAAAGCCTATATTTTTGCACAGCCCCAGGGATTCTGTTAATGGTATCAGAGGTCATTTTGTTTTTCTTTTAAGAACTCTCAAATGCACTTTGTGCTGGCATTTTTAGCAATGACTGTCCTTTTATTTTTTCTTTGGCCCAAAAGCTACCTGTAGAGGGCAAAGATCATCATGGAGAGTGCAGCACTCCGACAGGGAAGCTCAGGTGTATACGTATTATGGCAAAGGGTATGATATGAGTGTGAACGTATGCTGAAGTCGTGGCTTACGTATTCACACACTAAACGAACTTTATCATCCATGGTGTACAGGACCTACAGAGCGCTCTACCTACAGATAATCTGAGATAATAGAAAAATGAGAAGAGGCTCTTTACAACACAAGGCACTTCATCTATACAAAAAAATATTTTTAGTACATGCATGTTATGTACACTCTACCTTGTGAAAAAAATATAAAACAAAAACATTTCTAACATACACTTGACACATGCCCCAAAGATAATTAAAATTGTGCCACCGTACCCTGACAAGCTCTTGAGGAAAAGGTCCTCTGGAATTTTCTGGCAAGTTGATTGGTGGGATAACCCAGTCTCGCTTCTGCCGTTGCAGGTGACCATTGTGCTTAAGCAATTGTCTTGGGAATACTATTTCTTCAATTTCTTTTGATTCCTTCGCATTAAAATACAAAAAGACATTCCTAAGTACTAAAAGAAATATTTTCTGAAAGTATATAAATATCAACGGATGCCTAAAAGCATAGGAATCACAGTTTATTATGAACAAAAAGTAAGTCTGGAGGCCCTTTCCTTGTCCCCCTATTTAAATAACAGAAAACATCACAAAGTTTTTGGGTTATGATATTCATTGAAATATTGAATTCCAAACAATTTATTATGTGGCACAGCTGTGTAAACTATTTGCAGTTTCTATAAACCATCTTAGATAGTTGTTAATATTGAGCAAAATTGAATAGGACCCTTTTATATATATATATATCTCATTAGTTTAAACCGCAGTTCAGGTAATGTGCTACTGTACATTAAATTTAGATCTTGATAGGCTAAAATATAATTTGAATTCCAAGAGAAGTTTAATACATACTGCTAAGGAATGTCTCAAATATTTATGACCCTATTAAATCCCACAGAATTAATGCTGTAATTATTCTAAACCTATGTCAGCCATGATGGATGCCGTAGATGACCCACTTTGCACATGGGGTATTAATCTCTGCTGGATGTCAACATTTTCTTCCATTTCTCCTTATATCTGTAGACATTTTAGCCATTAGTCCTTGCTGCTTCAGTGAAACTATCCAAGCTAGTTTGCTGGAAGACAGCAAATCAACAACAAAAGCAACTTTTCACTCGATTAGTTACCAATTTCTCACTTTATATTACCCAAACGACGTAATTCCCCTTAGCAGTTAATAGTTTAACAAATTACATTTCACTTAATGAAAGTCCAACATGGGCATAAAAGAAAAATGATATATTTTCCTCTGATACATTTATTCATATTTGATTACGGCTGTGTATATCACATTTACAATTAAATACCAGAAATGAATGCATGTATTCTTGTCTTTCACAATAAATAAATACACAAAATGTAATAGCCATAGTTCATACCATCATAAACTTCAGAATATGAGTGTGATGTCCCCTCATATTAGTTTCAAATGAACTCAGAAGTGGAATATTCAGACAAGTAATGTTATCATAACTTTACTGCAGAAGTTATTGTTTTTCATTTAAAATTCCGAATGTGGTGACTGATACAAAATAAGTGCTCAATAAATGTTTGTTGAATTGATCGAACTGTACTCTGTTGGAACCATGTCTTATTTATTTTATCTTGGCTTACAGCAACTTCCACCAGAGGGAGTATATCATTCCTAAAAGTCATGTTGGTGGTATAAATAATTCATACTCTCAATTTGATTATTAAGGGTCAAGACAAAAACCCAATACTCCTTGCCAGAAATGCTTTCCTCTTACTACTGTAAATCTGAACTTCTTATCTAATAAATTTGGCTGGCGAAGTCTTGCAAAGGATTGTTTATTTTGTGGTTATACTTAACAGCTTGTAAAGCTTCTAAGAAATTCAAAACTACTTCTAATTTGAGTTATAAATCTCAATGCGTACACAAATCTTTCAAATATAAGATTGGATTGCTTAAAATACATTTGGTCTAAGTATTTTATAAGATTAAAAATACAACAAATACTATTGAAACGACTTCAAATACTAAGCATCCATAAACGTGATGTATAAAGCAAAGTGTATATTTAGTTCAAACTGTATAAGCTGATTTTTGAAACATAATTTCCAAGCCACATGTGGATACGCTACCTTGAGTGAATCCTCAGGTAAGGTTGGCTTCAGGCTCAGTTTTACTGCTACTTGCCACTTTTCCTGAGTGTCTTTGTCTCGGGCATATATGAGGAACTTGGCGTGCTCCGAGGAGAGGGGAAAGCTTCTCACAGCATAAACCATGCCATCTTCATCCACCTTAAAATCTGCTGGTTCGCTGCTTTCATACTGTACTTTTCTCTTTCCATTGCAGTTGCTAAACTTCACTGTAAAACAGATATAGAAATCCAATTTTACTATAAAAGCGGAAAGAATATCTAAATCTATATCCTGCTTAGGTTAAAGAATGGAATGTAGTACCATGAAAAACAAATATTTTAGTTTTACATTATTAGAGGAAGTTTTCCATATTAGAGAATATCAGATTATGGTTCTGAGTTGTTCCCCAGCATCTTTTTGTCCCAAAGCTTTCCCTCTCCCTTCACCTGCCCCTGGATCCTGAGCCCTTAGGGACATCTGCTCCCCCCGACCCCTAACGCCTCTCACTGATATTGCTTGCCACTCCCTAATAAACTCCTACTCATCCTTCAGCTCCCAGTTCCGAAGTCACCGAGGTAGAACAAATCCTCTGCATTCAGTCTTCATGTAGCGATCTGAACTCTACTACCATAGATGTCTAACACTCACTGTGAGAGGTACTTCTGAGCCAATGTTCATAGCTGTTTTGTATACCCTGCATACTTCCTGGCACCTAGTCTTAATGTACAATTTTTGAATAAGGAAGAAAGTAATAGCATTTATCAATGTTGAGTGCCAACTACAGTCTAGAATTATAAAGCCTATGGTAATTAAAAGGTGAATGATTTGCAACTTATTAGTCCTCAGGGTGCTTATAATAGTTCTAGGAAGCAGTAACAGTTTTATAAATTTTCAAGCAAATGAAAATAAAGGTATATCTCATAATAAATTTTCACTAAAAGTATCTATGTCTTAAGAGTAGAAAAAGTAAAAAGATTTCAGTATTTTAATTATCTCTGGCATACATAAAGTTGAAAAATGCTTTCTTAAAAGCAATATCAGCTTTTGTATGTCAACTATAATTATATATACATATAGTCACAGGACATGGAGTAGAGAATGGGAACGGAGTCAATGGAATTGTAATAGATAAGCATGATATCGGGGGGGAGGGCAATAGATGGGGAGAGGGGGGTTGTTACTTTGTGAGGGGTGAAAAGGATAACTATTGCATTGTTCTGTACACCTGAAACTAACAATAAAAAAAAATTTTTTTTAAAAAGCAAAAAAAGCAATATCAGCTTATGTCTCATCGGATAACAAAAGTTAAACCACATACTTATAAATGTAGAGCTAGACATATTTAAGCCAAAATAAAATTACAAAATAATGAAAGTATTCTGTAAGGAAGATTGTTTCTTTGGAATCCTTAATCATTCCTTTTGAAGAAAAATTCTATGGGAATAGCATAGAGGGATCAAAGAAAAAACATTTTTTTTTTAAATTTCTGTAAACATGTCATGTTGTGTCCTAACCACAATTACATAGGAGACTTTTAGAATGCATTAATCGGTATACATTACAAATATAATCATATATACTTTTTGCCTTTTTCAAGGATTTAAGTAAACTATTTTGAACTCCAATCTTACGTATTGATGACAGTTCTTTTGTTTTCATTAATATAAATTCACTGAGACATGCATAAAACTACAAATAACATGCATGTTTGTTTCCCTAAGTAACCATTAAATCCTTGATAACATAATAAAATACTTGACTGAAATATTATTTTCCACATAATCCTACATATACCATCCTTCATCCTTCAAACATTTCAAAATGAAAATAAAAAGTTGTATCTCATACTAAATTATGTTAGACCAACATACTTGTCTTTGGAGTAGAAGTATCCCAAAAGATGCTTAATTACCCCATCTTATAGGCCATGTGATTTAAAAGTGAAAAATGGGAATCTCTTCTCTAGAACAATGCCATCTACTGCTTATCTTTTGTTAAAGACAACACAATGAAAAGTGAAATTGTTCTGGGGAACCTGCTGAGTAATCAAAATAAAAAAACTTTTATCATCTTCTTGTATAAAAGGTATTCATGATACTTAAGATCGTTTAACCTGGGTCAGAAAAAATAAATACTCTTTTGCATTTTCTTTTTCACTTTTACCACTTTAGCACTAATCCTCATTTAACACCCAAGTCGATAGTTGGGTCGGCCTCCTAGGCCGTCTTCTCCTTGCTCCAGGTCACAGCCTACCCACTCCTAGACTAATCATCTGCCATGATTTTCTCCTGCCTGCTTAAGATCTGTATTATCGTAAGTAAATTGTTAAGTACAGTGTCCTCTTACTTCTTGGTCACTTGGTCTCTTTGGTTTTACTTACATCATGTTCTAAAATATATTCTGCCCCATCAGACAGATTTCTTGGTCATTTCCCACCTCACTGTGGCCCATACCCCATGTGTCACCCTTTCTGAAGCTCCCCCACCACTCCCATTCCCAGGAAGCAAGCCATAGCTCTTAAGCTAGGCCATCGTCAGGGGAAGAGTCCATTGGGATGTCATTGGGAAGACAGCGGCCTATGCCCTCATTTGCAAAGGCTCTAAAATTTAACTTGTACTTATTTTCACATTTCCTGTCCACAGAAACACATCTTAGCACTTTGTTTTCATTATGATAGTAATTATAATAAATAATTTCTACTTATTAATGGCTTCATATGACTAGATCTTTTCCCCCTAAGCAGACTGTATACTCATTTTGGCTTCATGACAACCAGTCTTAGTTATTTTGCTTCCATTGACACTTAACAATGATAGGGACAGTATAATTGTTCTTTAAATTTCCAGATGCCAATTATATTAACATCTTACAACTTTTCCAGAAAGTAGAAAATATTCGGGAAACTTAGAAGTATGCCCAGCCTGCTATAGCAACATTCAGCCACAACAATAACAATACCCCAAAGACTTCAAATAATTTGGCTTTGAATTAGGTTGTTGGTAGCGAAATAAAATGAACTAATATTTGTTGAATGCCAGGCACTGAACCAGATACTTAAGATTAGGTTATCTACTTTAATCTTAACAATAACCTCATGAAGAGGGAATCATTTCCGTTATTTCTGTTCTACAGATGGGGCAAGGACGTTCAGAGAACCATCTATGCCCATGGCTGTTTGACTCCTCTTTCTCTCCCCTACAAAAGCACAAAGAATTCTAACTACACTCATGACTCTTCAGTTATTGCAACCTAAACCTTTAACAAACAACAACAGTACAGAAATGACAAAGAGGCTTGATAAATGCTTGTGAAGAGAATAATGTCACATTTAGAGCTCTGAAAGTACCAAAGTAAATAGCATATAAATTTTTAAATTGAAGTCTACCCTAAATGTCCTACTGAGGTGAGTAGCTGGAGCCCTTATGGTCTAGTGTGAGAGTATCAGGCAGGCAGCAGAGGAAAATCCATGCTCACCACTACTGTGACTGGCTATTCTCTTAATTTGGTACTTAACTATCTACTTGGATTCAGGTGTCTGAATGATGCAGGGAAACAAAGAAGGATTGAAAAAAATGCATCAGCAAAGAAAAAAATATATATTGCGTTTTCCTACAAAGGGGCACTGCACATCCTAGAATGAGAAGTGGTTGACTTCAGAGAGTCCCACAATGGAGATAACACTTTGGAGGAAATTGCATGAAGGTCAGTTATTTAAAGTCAATTAGTTTTCCTATCACCCCTGTGCGACCTAACCTATAACCAATCTGAATTGGTTTAATATATCTTTTATTAAATTGTTTGGGGTTTTAAAACAAATGCTAATTCTCATTTGCTCTAATCTTAAAATAAGCAACATTTCAGGCATTATTCAGGTGTAAAGAAATGTTTTGTATTACATAATTCCCTTTGTACATACAACCAGTGGAATCAACACTCTAACTGAAAATAAGTCTGTTGCCAACTGAAAAAGTTCTCCTCGATGAAATACTAGTTCTAACTTCATCCTGTAGATTAATGCATGTATAGTGCCTGGCTCACAGTGACATGCCTAATCACTGATAACCACGTTTAACTGCTTTCAAATCACAAATTAAAAGACTTACTAATTTCAATGGTTGTTATATGGACTGAATTTTGTTCCCCCAAATTCCTATGTTTAAGCACTAACTCCCAGTACCTTAGGATATGACTGTAATTGAGATATGGTTTTTAAATGGTAATTAATGTTAAATGAGCTCATACGGGTGGGCCTTCATCCAAAATAACTGGCGTCCTTATGAGAAGAGGAAATTTGGACACAGACATGCATTTTCACAGAGGGAAGACCATGTAAGGACGAAGCAAGTAGGTAGCCGGCCATCTGCCAGCCATGGAGAAAGGTCTCAAGAGAAACCAAAACTGCTGACACCTTGATCTTGGACTTCCACACTCCAGAACTGTGAAAAAATAAATTTCTGCTGTTCAACACATCCCTGTAGTCTTTTGTTATGGCATCCTTAGCAAACTAATACAATAGGTAATGCATGAATTTCATTTTTTTAATTATTGGCTGATATTTATTGCCTGTTTTGTTTTTTTTTAAGATTTTTATTGGGGAATTGGGGGATGGGAACAGCGCTGGGGAATTGGGGGAAGGGGAACAGACAAGTTGCTGTCATTTTGTTCTTCAGTCTAGTTGTGGAGGACGTCGCTTCACTGGCCCAAGTTGGCACCATCATTGCACTCTTCCCGGGAGAGGCAGATGAGTCGCCGGCTTCTGGACAGCCGCTCACGCTGGCTGCTGGCTACACACGGTAGCCCATGGCAACCCACTGCAGCCTATGCCGCCACCGGCAACTCACGGCAGCCCAGCTCCAGGTTGAGCTGTTGGTCAGCATCTTAGCTGTAGAGGGCAGTGTCACTGGCCCTCATATGTGGGATCCGCACCCAGGCTCTTAACCATCGCGCCACTCGGCCGGCCCCTTGCCTATTGTTTTGTTCACTTATGACTTAGATGCAGCTAGGAATATTTTCTCAAATTTGCCAAAATTCACTTCCACCCTTGGACCAAGCGCTAAAATGTACTTGAGAGGTTTTTTTGTTTGTTTTTTTTAATAGAAACTTAGAATGGGTAAAATAAAAGTAGAAAAGTTGTTATAGAATCCTATTTACAGCACTAGTATATATTTATAACTTAAAAATTATATTTATAATCTATAGCTTTTCAGAGATGTTTCCAGGACTATGA